ATATATATATATATATATATATATATGTGTGTGTGTGTGTATAATATTAAATAATTATTAATTAATAATTATTAATTATTAATTAAATAATTAATAATTATATAATAATTATTTATGGCCACATACACAGGCGCGTAATATACTCGTACATATAATATAATTATACATATAATTCTTGCAATTTTTATTCACATTGCTGTTTTTTCCATATTATATTATTAAATAAATTAAAAATTTTGATTTAAATGCTCAAATAAATATTGATAGCTTAAGAAGAAGAAAGATATTTTATATGCCGTAAAAAAATAAAATTCTTCTTCATATTGCGTCATTTTGTTTTGTATTACATCGATACGTCAATATTGTTGTCTTCAAGTACACGAATTATATATTTCTAGCTGTAATTACTCAGAAATTACTCAGCTTTTCATCGGAGATACGCGGTTGCGCGGCTCGGTTATAAATAATTTCGATCTGTTTTTACCCCTAGTAAAATCATTAGGATGTAGAAGTGTAGTTATTCCTTCGTCTCTTATACATCTTTCATGGCAGATTTTCTCCTTTAACATTTACAAACTTCTCCCTCCTCCCGTCGCGTAATTGCAGGACCACTGAAAGTAAATGCACGTGAATGCAACGAAAACCGTCTCGTCGTCCGATGGAGGAAGAATTCCCGCAAGATTGGTAGAGGATGGGTAACCGAGGGGTTGAGGGTAGAGGGGATAGACGGCATACTGCGCTGCCTGCTCCAAGAAAATTAAGTACCGCCTGGTAATTTGAGGTATTGATTTTTATAGCTTCTCTCGGTAGGCATACATTAAAGTCCTCCCTCTTTGTCTCTCACCCTTGCAACATCCCCTCCGGGAGCTACCCTTCTTTGCGGAGGAGACACAGCAATGCTTGACGATCGTCTGACTCTTTCAACTTTCCATCTTCCTTTTTCACCCTCCTCATGAAAATTCGCGATGATACGTGCTCCTTGCGCTTACGTCCCTCACGTCAATTAAACGATTCTATACGAGGAAGAATTAATTTGCGTAATAAAGATTCGCCAGCAATTACGCAAATTCATTCTATTCACGGTACTCGAAAAGAAAAATTCACAGTTATGTAAGTTTCCGAAGTAGTGATACTCTTTTTATTTTACTAATTTAATGGTTCCGATATATGCATGAAGCGCAATTTATTTGCGACGATTAATTAAAAACGAGTAGTACCCAGAGTATAATTTTTATGCGAAATATGTGCATCGATGATTTATCTTCTTTTATATAGTAAAGAGATTTCATGTCGTTTCATCTCTCTTGGCATATTTGTGAAATCATTCTGCGAATAATCTTGCGCAGTTGAAATTATTTCTCTTGCACGATCGTCGTAACAAGCCTAAATGAAACGCATGACGGCGAAGTTATGATGGAGACTGAAGAAGGTCAGGGGTGAGAAGTTCGATGGAAAAGTGGTCGGATGACACGTGATCCGGTGGTAAAAGACGGGGAAAAGGTCGCGGAAAGCCACGAGCGGAGGCTGTATACGGTCCGTTTACTCTTCCTCCGTCTCGATGTCGGTATATAGAAGCAAAAAGGGAGAAGAGAGGAGAGAACCTCTCCCGTTCCCAGTTCATATGTGAGCGTCGATTTCGCGGTCCGCTGCGCCGCGTGAGTGGTTTGCCTGCCGCTTAAAAGATCCGAGACACGGCCGTAGTGATGGGTACTCGACACCGCGCAAACCCACTCGAACAACTCGATAAACGGCAGATCGAACTCGATCGTTATAAATCCGTTGTAAATCCGTTCTGATAACGTCACGTTGTAATTCAATTTTTATAAATTTAATTGTGACAGAGGTATGTATGACTCTATGTCTTCATAAAGGATTAAAAAGTATGTGGCCTTGTGTTATTTATTTACAACTCGTATATATCTATTTGATATTTGCTGAATGATCGTGAGTTTGTTCACGTAGATCATATCCATAGACAGAATGTGCAATTTTGAAGAGACGTTTAGTCATAGTACTCGGCGTCATGTATATACCGGTATATAAAAGAGATACCGGATACATAGGTATAGCAGCAAGGTGAATAAAAGATTTCTTAAAATGATTTGCCCCGACAACGTACGTATTACCTGAGCTTCTAAAGGCAGCGACGTAAAGGCTAGAGCGTCGCACCTGTTGCTTCAGTTCTCAGCACCAAATCGAAGACCTCGGCTCCGATGAGATACCATAAAATGGAATTTCATAAAGTGGAGAAGCATTCGCACAGTTTACCTGCGTTATATATTTTCGCATGATATATACACGCGTGAGTATACACGGGCGAACGTGATTTTCGATTGATTTGCAACTTTGATTCAGTTTTAATTTATCGCCGTACTGAAACGTTATAATTAATATATTAACAGCAAAATTCTGTCTATAACGATATAAATTATTATAATAAATTTTCACATTACGTCACAACTAGAAATAATTAAAGTTCTTTTTCATTGTTCTTTTTTTTCTGATATTTTTACTTACAACAATTACTAAAAACAGAGAAGAAACAAATTTAATTTGAAATTATTGTATCTGTGTTATTATAAAAAAAAACAATTTCATTATATTATATCAGACATGATACATAAGAAAATTATTGAAAAATCAAAGAGAGATTAATCTAAGTTTAAGTTTGAATGTCGCGAAAATGATAGTTAGTCGAAATAAGCGTTAGTTCGAATCCATCATTACCTGCGCGCCGTACGGCGTACCTATTCCATGGGACAAGGTAAAAAATGCTGATGCCAGGCCAGCGTGGGGTCCGAGGCTTATGCACGCTTCAGGAACCCGGACACTTCGGATTTAACGGAGAGCTCGCACGAATAAACAATCATACCTACGTGGGTGCTGCCTTATTAAAAGTCGTGGAAAAAAAAACAGGCTCGACCGCGGCACGCGAGCGATTAATCGTCGTCCGGCGATAAGCACGCTAACTAAGGGTGCCGTAATTAGCGCGTCACCCCGCCACGCCAGCGACGTCCATAAGATTATTATTCTCGCGTGAGGACCGTCCTGGAGACATAATTGAGATATATCGCGCGAGAGAATTGAACGCGAACGCGGAGCGCCGATGTTTCGAGGCGGACACACGAATCTGCGCGTTTCAATTACGGAAATCTGCGAGGAGATCAAACGGATGAAACCGGCCTCGGTAAACCGCGATTTCTAATCGCCGTGAAGAAACGCGCGCGGCTTGTGGAATGCGTCAAATACCGAATTCTTCGATTTTTTTTTTTTAGTTCCATGAGAAAGCATTGTCAATCGAAATCCATCAATTTCTGCAAAATTTACACTAAATTTTATAAAATTTATGCGGAAAACAACGAAAGAAATTGTTCACAAAAGATTTTTTTTCTAAAAGATTTTTTTCATGTAACTTTCTGTCATCTGTCTGAAATTTGACTTTTATTTCAAATTCAATTCTCTTTTCTTATTCATTACATCAGAAAAAGATTGGTGTACTGCTCCTTTGATCCTGAGAGGTTAGATGTCGCACCTCTTTAAAGGGCAATTGGCCACGAATAAAGCATACCATTATTCATGTCTTGAGTCACTCTTTGTCTGTTTACAAAGTTCCTCCCAAATTGATGGCTTCGGATCAGTCGTGTTCCCTTGTCTAGTCAGCTATCTCCGCTAAATTCTCACGTTTTGAATCAATCGTGCAGTCGCTCTAATCTCGCGTGCGACAGCCTCCTTCGATCCATCGACTATTCGCCGCGGCTTCATCTGCGATTTCGTCGCTTCTCGAAAAATGGACAGAGAGTCATTAATAGCGCGACGAGCAACAGGAAATCCGCGTTCTTGGCGACGAAAAAACCCGTCATCAGGCGACGGGTACACATAACCGCGAAAGAAATTGCCGTCATTCGCAAGTAGTAATCATTCCGCCCAGGCAATATATCCATTATTTGCCGACGTGGTATTTCGTACCGAACTGCGTGATGCAGCTTCCTCCTCGTCTCTCATCCTATCATCGGGAAAACAAGCGTAGAGTGTATTTTACAGCGAAGTTTCTTACGCGGGTGAAAAAAGCATATATCATTTCTGTTAAAAGTGACATATTCCATTCAAATATCCGTGAAATTACCTTAAAATAAACCCGCATTTCTTTCTAGCGTTTTTAGCGGATAGTCCATTCGCGAGTTTAATACAACATCCCAAGATTTAAAAACCGCTCCTAAAATAAGGAGCCGATGCGCGTATAAAGAGTATAAAAGAAAAATTCTCATTCCCGTCTTTATTACATAATGTAACAGGTGTTATTTTTCATCCTTAGCTCCTTTGGGAATCTGAAGTTTGCTTTTATACTCCGCATCCGAAAAACGAATATCGCGACTCAAGTTGGAAATACATCGGCCGGGGGCACGTGGTTTTAAGTGCCCGTTAACACGTGAGCACCGAGAGGTTTCGTCGCGCTGACGGCAAACAGGTAGACTGCCCATGTACACAGTCTTCGTACACAGACACCCACACGTATATATATATATATACATATATATATATATGCATGCATATCATGTATCTGTATCGAGGAGGTGGCACGGAGCAGGTTTTCGAGCTGATATCATTTGTATCTCCCGCGGCCACGACCTGGAGGCCTCTCGCACCTTGGCCTTCCCCTCGCCGCCCTCCTTTATCCACGAGGATCGTCTACGTGATATTTATTTCGTGCAGGCTTCCCTCGGACTTTATATTTGGATATCACGTACGCTTTTAGTGATAGTAGTGTGTCTCACCGAGATGTTACGCGCATTTACGCGCCAGCGAGGCACACCATTTAGGCGTGATAGGTGCGAGATGAACCACGTCCGGGATAATTTAACACTTGAAACCGAGTGTGTGGCGGTTGCGGTTCTCATACGTATGCATGCAACATTATAACAACGAACATCGTTATACCGATGTAATATCGTCGAAAGCGAATGAAAAGAAGATAGAGGATGGATACATTCTTTTTTCGACAATGAGTGTTTTTACGTTACGTCAAACTCTCATTAGCATATTTTTATGCAAATACCTGATAATATTTGATACTTTATCCCATTATCCGGACCGCATCATTATATCTGTTTAACCATCTTTCCACCGCAACTTTCACGATCCTGAAATATCCATGCTTAGAAATCACGTCTCTTTGCGACAAGAGATTAAAAGTCCACGTGTAAAGAACACATATATTTTTAAATATATTATGTAGACATCTATTGTTCATTTCTAATCTGATAGGAATAATCATATATATCTTTTTCTTAAAAATAATCAAAATAATTCAAAATCTTTGGAAGTTTCTTTTGCTGTGATAAATTATTTACTAAACTATTTACGTAAACAGTTACTTTACCTTTTAAGTTACAATTTAAGCATCTTGTTATGGTTATCCGAGCCGTTTCTCTTCTTCTCAATAAAAACGAATCTATTTGATGTACATCACGTTGGAATTTCATCCTGATTTGAACGCAGGGCCAGAGTATCGCACGGCTGCAACGTGTCCTAAGCATCCAACATGCAACCATGCTTTTATCTATGATAACTCGGTAGTTGGACTTTTGACTCGGGTAACATAACACCTTAAACCTCAGCTCGCATAGGCATTCACGTGTGCACGTATACTCGCGCGTGTGTATAATAAACCGCGGACTTCAAGGAAGTCAGGACTGGGTGCATCTTTGATACAAATGCATTTCGCGAATCTCAAGGAGAGAACAACATGGGAGTGGAATCGCATTAACTCTTCATGAAGCCGTTTAGCGATGTAATACTATATTAGTAGCAGGATGCAAAACGCGCATTTTGTTAAAAAAGGCGACCACCCGTTTTAACAAAATATTTCACCGTGATAGGCTCTACGGTACAACGCGATTGAGAGACAGTGGAGGGCACAAAATCCCGCCGATCAGCGGGATATCTCTCTTTTAGATAAAGCGAGAATTAATGCTTCCAGCAAAATACACAATCGAAAAATCACGGCGCGCCCAGAAATTATAGTCCATTTAGCCTAATGGTTGAGGCAGCCCTGCACGGAGGGCGGGCCGCGGGAGAAAGATGAGGCCGCGTCCGCGATCGTGACTGCCCGTGACATACACGCTTACGTTATACATACATCTGCCCCCCCCCCGTGCCACCACCCCGCGGACTTTCCACGAAGAGACGAGGCGTTCGGTTACTACACGATCACACTACCGGCGAATCCGCCTCGCACGACCGCGCCGATAAAAGTCCTTATCCCGGCGTGTATCATCGCCATCTCTGGACGAGCGAGGTGACGATAAAAATTATTGCAGGATGGATTCGCTCCGCGCCGAGAACTCGCGTGATTTTTGATAATTAATCGACCCGCGCGCGCTCGCGTTACGCACCGATCCGTTTCTCAAAATATCATCCGTCAGATTACATCGGACATGCCGGTATTATGTTTGATCACGCTCGTGTGCTAGCCGGAAAAGCAATAGCACGCTCGGATGTAAGAACGAGTCTTAAGCCCTGCGCACAATGGAAGAGATATTAGGAAGAGGAATCTAAATATTGGAAATATTTGGAAGAAGAAGAAGTATTAAATCGTTTTTGGAAATGAAAATTCAGAATAAAAAGATCAAACATGTAACATATATAAGATATGTGTCTATATCCGTTGTGCGTTGTATATTTAACCTTTTTGTAAATTTATCAAAAGATTTAATACTTATTCCTTAATATTCCTTCCATTGTGCGCGAGGCCTTATTCCGAGGTTTCCTCCCTCCTCTCGGCAGTCGCGAGTTATTATCGCCGTAATGGCTCTTCCAACGAGCTATCGACATCTAAGCATCTCGCGCGAGCGAGATGATAAAGAGAATTATTGCCCGAACGATCGTGATGCCCGCGGCGTAAATCATACATCGTGCGACTGCCGATGACAAAAATTACGAGCGCAAGTTCCTCGCTTTCCTCGAGCGGACGTCTCGCCCTACGCCCTTCGCTTTCTTTTCTCGCAAGAGATAAAAATTACGCGAAGTACACTCTACAAGGATTTTTTAACTTTATACAGACTGTGCTGATGCATACTTCAGATCTTTGGTGGTCCTCGCAGAATATGCTGTAATAACTTTTTTGTTGTCTGCCATGGTGAAGTCGTCCTGATTGCGAAAGATTTCTTGCACGTCCGTTCCCTCGTGTGCCTTGTAATATTCAACACCCGAGCACCGCGCGTTTAATCACAACTATAGAACGATGTAAATCATATAATAACATAGAGATGCTATGCATCAACGTTGTGTTAGTTTTCTCGAATAAATTGCTCTCGATATTACACCGTATTTGATACTATTTCGATGTTTGTTAGAAAAATTCCCGTTATTCTATGATCGATAGAAGGATGAGAGCGTTGAAATGTATGTTGAAATTTGTTGTTATAACATTTTTACTTTTCAATGAACGGCGAGTAAAAGGGTTATGTAAATTTCAACAATGTGCGAGCGAAAATAATGAGATTTAATACCGGGGGATATCGAATAGCGCACGTGAGGGCGCAATTTCGCAATCGTATTGATCGCGACAGTGCCACCGCATGTAGCTCGTGATCGAATTGCACCTTCCGAGTGCGGCCGATACGAAACCACGTGTCACGTATTATCCGCGATGCGTTTTCTCACGCGGCCGATGGAATCGACCGAGGCGAGAGATATCGGAACGATCGGCAGGCAAGCGGGAAAGGTTGAAGCCGGACACGGGGAGGGGAGGGGGGAAGGTAACACAAGATCTTCATCTGTAACATCGCAAATTGAACGAGGGTTTGCTACGACCGCCGAGTATCGTACCGCAAGTAGTCGATGCATATCTACGGCGCGATATTGGCCGGTAATACACGTATCGACTTGATTTAAATTACTTGCCCGGGTTCCCTGTTATTTGCAACTCGCTGTCCTCTGCCAGCGATAAATTAGACGAGCGTTACATGCGGATGTGCTTGGTTTCGAACGTTATCCCATCTTCGTCGCTTTTTTTTTTCCCCCCCAGTCGTCGCGCCTGCCGCGCAAATCGCGCGTCTTACGATCTCCCGTAGGATCCCGTTAATTTTACGGTAATTAATACACGTATGATTGCGCGCGGTCGATCGTTCGAGGATTACATCATCGGGAACGTACGGCGGCGGATCGAAAGATCGTGCTGGCCTCTCTCGCTCACGTACGTACGCTACCACGAAGCGTGTAAGATTTCCTTAATGGAACCTGCTGCGATCTGGCGAGGGCGTGATACTATTTCAATATCGATCTGCCTGCCTTTCTTCCTCTACATCGCTCCCTGTTGGAGATTCTTCGGCAATGAAGTTCCATCGTCACACGTGATTTTTGTGCATAAAATCCTAGCATTTTCTTTATATTATATATTAAAAATTATTAAAAATGATTAATACACTGATCGAGTGCGTCAGCTGACTAATAATTTTCCGGAACAAATAAGATTTTAAGAGAGATCTCATTAATATGTTTGTCTTGACGATTAAATATTTTTTTAAAAACAAGCCAAATAGTTTCTGATAAAATATTTAACTTAGATTGATCGAGATCGTTTCTCTGAAATTCGAGGTATCTGGAATCTTTATTAGAGAGGCATACATTGCTCGATTGTTTAAAACTCAACAATGAGATTCTTGCGCTACAGATTGCGGGAAACCTATTTGTGTTCCGTGAGATTTTCGCGAATTCTTCCACGTGGAGATTGCGTCTGCAGTTTAACAGGTGTGTTTCGCTTCGTAAAGCAAGGGATGGGCACCGTGCACATGCAGATTGCGGTCGCTTGTCGTTCTCTATTGTTTTTCCTTCCGTCCCTCGCCCGCGCCCTCCACCACGCCACCCTAACATGCTCTCTTCTTCCATCACACGCATGCGGTGTCACAATAGTGTCCCTTTCGAAAGGTAACGGCATTAACTGTGAACACTAAACATTCGCAAGTAACAAATAGGCAGGTAGAGGCGCAGTGCCTTAATTGTCGCCTTCCTCCTTGAGATTGTATAGCATACCAAGCATGAAGTAAGGTCTGCTCGTATGGAGAATCACCGTCGCGGATGCAAAACGCTCCCTCGCCGTAAAGAAATGCCTCATTAGTGCCTTTCCAATCGACTTTCGAAATGCGCATTGAAAGTACTCTCGCTGCCTCTTCGAAATCGATCGCGTTTGGCTTCACACGGATCACAGATGAATGCGCGAGAGAAGAGGCATGGAAAAAGCGAGAGTGTGACCGATGGTGTAATAAAGCTTCTACAGAGAGCGATAATATCACTTTGACAGACTTTATTCCGGCAGTCGGATTCCTTTTTCATTTGCTTCGTCCTCGCGAGTATGAGATTAGTGATTAAGCTCTTTTGTGCAAAAATCTCAAACTATCCGCTTACTAATGATTTTTGTTTTACAATTGTGGATTAATTTCTTTACAATTTATGTAACAATTTCTCGAATAAAATTATATCAATCGTCCTTAGTAATAGGAGAGCGCAAGAGAAATTTCGTGGGGCTGTACGATCGTACGATCCGGTTGTCGAAAGTCTCTTTAGAAATTTTCCGAGATGCCACGCTGGCTCTCGTCAGACGTCGACCGTGACATAGAACTTGCGTGCCGATCGAAGGCATGGTCGCTCTCCTAACAGAGGGCAGAAGGCGCGGCGTCTGTCAGGTACGTTTAGAGACAAGTTAAAGACTGAAATTACACGGCGAGGCGCAATCTATCTAGTCTTGCAAAATTTCTTCCCACGTTTACGGACCAACCACCCATTGATCCATAATAGAGAGAAGATCTTTGTATCCATAAAGGTCCACACTCTCTTTGTGCACGTTGCACGAGAGCAATTAAAGTTACTTTACATAGATGCAGGTTTCATCAAGAGATTTTTAAAATAAAGATTCTCTTTCTCTTTCTCTCGCATATGTTCGACTAGACCTCACCAATAGCATCGCGTTTACTTTGCGTCATGAAGGGTAGAGTAATTGACGGTGAATAGTAGCGGTGAGTAGTAAAGCGAGCACGTGTGAGGAAGAGACGTCGGGAGAGAAGATAAACGAGAAAGAGGAGAAACGAAGCCGAGTGCCTCGCCCAGGGTGCCGGTCACGGAGCAGGGGGCGGAAGGGGGATGTCTCCTCCAAGTGGGTCGCCGTCGTCACCGCGGCGCGTTAAGGCCGGGTAGATATGGCCTAAGTCGCCGGACGCGAACAACGGACGTTCAAGTGGAGAGCTCAGTGATTACGAGGCTGATTGGCCGCCGACGAGATGAGACGGCGGCGTCTGTCTTGTCGACCGCAGCTCGTGACGGAAGAAGCGCGGGCTCCCGAAAGGGAGAAAGAGAGAAAGAGCTTTTCTTATTTATCCGTACCGCCGCGCCATACGCTGCCGCTGCCCGTTGCCGGCCGCGGACTGCAACCGGAATATAGTGGCGTATGCGAGGGAGGCGATCGGGGGAGAAAGAAAGAGGAATACTCTCTACCGCGAAGCCCGTATATAATTTCATATCGCGGCAACCCGGTGCGCGGCGTAGGGATAGGCGCCACGCCCACCTGTGTGTCTCTTGGGCGCCAGCCCAAGTCGCGTCTCCTTTCGCTACTGCAGCGCTCTTGATGTTGCTGCTGCTGTTGTTGCTGCTGCTGCTGTCGTTGCTGTTGCTCCCGCTACTCCCGCTCGAGTCTCTTTGTGTGTCGCTTCTTCTTCGCCTGCTCGTCGCGAACGATGCGCTCACAACGTAAGCATTTGGAGTCAAACGCATCTTTCTTTTTTCGTATAATCTTCGGTTAAAGATAATAGGATATGTGAGCTACGGGGGAAAATATATAAGTATATAAAAAATATATATGTATATAAAAAGAAAAACACTGAGTTTCAGTAACAAAGTTTTATTGAGGATTTTGAACTTTTGAAAATATATAAGAGATTTATATTTCGAGATTTAGTCTTGACAAAAGCGCGCGTTTGAGATCACAGGCGCATACGCTCTTTTCACTTCATTTACTGGATTTACTTATCCATTGTGTGGATTTTTTGATCTCGCATTTCTAGCATCACTGTCACCAAGCTATCAACTTCGTTTCTATTCCATCCGTCACTCGAATCCGCTCAATCTCCGCCGCGAATACCACGAATCTGCTAAACCGCAACGCGTGACGATCTAACTGCTTTTCGTTTGAAGCCTTAAGGCTCCGTCTCCACGAAGCCAAATAGGTCCTTGTC